TTGGTGGAGGAGGTTCTCTTGCTTGGTCACTTCAGTTCCCTGATCTATCTCCATTAGGTTTTTACTCATGGGGCAGCATCAATACTGCCATGTGTGCCTTGAAACCTCATTCTTTGGATGGCCTTAAGGCAAAGATTACATGCAACACTTTCAGTCACTGTTGACAGATTTTTACAAAGTTTAAAATCAGCTAGAGTGATGGATAGCATGACAGTGGTTATGTTAGATTTTAATTAGAAACAAAAATATTTTAAAATTTTAAATAATTAGTCTTTCAAATGTGTTCTCTGTAAGTTTATAGCATTTATGATTCTATAGTTATTAAAGTTTAAATCTGAACTAGAATTTTTCGACACCCTGTACATATAGGTAGGTATATGAATACAATGTAAATTCCTTTGGGAGAAGGGACTTTTTTTTCTTTATAGCTCTAGGGCTGGCACATAGCAGACATGTAAAAATGCTTGTTGTTTGATTGATATATCCCTGTATTGACAATATAACCTGCAGGTGGTGCAGTGGATAGAACAGTAGGCCTGGAATGACGAAGATTCACCTTTGTGAGTTCAAATCTGGTCTCAGACACTATCTAGCTGTATGACCCTGGGCAAGTCACTTAACCCTGTTTGCCTTAGTTTCTCATTTCTAAAATGAGCTTGAGAAGGGTATCTCTGCCAAAAAAATCCCAAATGGGGTCACAGAGTTGGACACGACTGAAAAACAACTTAACAACAATGCATATAATAAAGGAAGGTGATTTTAAAAATATTTTTGTGATATTTTATTTGTATACAAGCAAGAGGGTAGAATAATTAGTGGAAGTAATGAATGAAGGAGTATCATGGCAGTAGTGTGCTTTGACAGCACATGACCTAGAAGTATTTATCATTCCCCTTTCATGGTGCTCATGGAGTTTAAGTATTGTTTGAGTGAAAAAAAAAGGGAAGTAATCAAAGTGTGGAGGGCACTCCTAGACTGTTACATAATTTGGAAATTATTACATGAAAAGTACATTGAGTATCTTTGTCTGAGAGTAACAGATGTAGGTCTCCCTAGGATTAAGAGGAGACAGTGTTGTGTAAGGGAAAGAGCTCTGGACTTGGAAGTCACTATCTTTGAGTCCTGGATCAGCTACCTATTAGCCTTCTGAAACTGGGCAAGTAGCATTGCCTTTATGGGTTTCCATTATCTCATCTGAAAAATGAGGATGAGATGATCTCTAAGGTCATTTTGAATTTTACAACTACATAAGATGTAGTATAGGGTGACATGATGGAAGACTTAGAAGCAAAAGTTGAACTTCTTGATCTTAAAGATTATGGTCCAGGTGTGTGTGTGTGTGTGTGTGTATGTGTGTGTGTGTGTGTGTGTGTGTGTGTGTGTGTATGTGTATATACCAATGATAAGGCACAATAAGCCCTAAGGTGGGGGATCATTTGCTCAAAAAGATAGACAATGCAATTGATATATAACCTAGCAATGAGAAATCTGGCAAGGAATGAATTATGATGATCCAAGGGAGAGGTATTACATAAAGACTTGGCAAAAGTGGTCCTGAATTTCTAGGTTTTTACTTAAGAATTATGTCTTTTAAAAAATGAAGAATTTAAGAGCTTTCCTGGGATTTGCATACATATTTAAATATTCATATTTATATATGTGATCACATAGATTCATGAGTTTCTTCCAACAATATAAATTGCAACCCATCTCTGCTTGCTTTTCACATACAGCTTTTATTCATGTTCACCAGAGGGGATCCACCCTGAAGGCCTTTCTTGCTTTCTTTCAACATTGAGAGGATACCAACAGAGCATTCTAGCTACCTACTTGTCATTGTTTGCTATTAACATATGACTAGGCAATCTGTTCTTTCTGTCATAGAATGATGATAGAATTTGATTGAGTGATGACTTCTTTTACTCCTAATCTTCTTTAGAGTTCTCCATTAGTATATGTTTTGGTCTGCTCACATGCATCTTGAAACTTTCCTGAGTGATACTCAAGGTTGGTTTTTTAGTTGAAGTGGGCTTCCACATCTTGTTGACAAAGAGAAATATTAATAAAAGGTCAGTATTGAAAAGATAGGCCTTTGTCTTCCTGGAAAATTGGGGTCAGAAAAAGAGCTTGATAATTTCCTAAAAGAAATCCAGTTGGCTCTCAGAATGTAGCTTACAATGAAAGGGAGAAGGTTATAGTAGAAAAACCACCTTGGCTAAGTGTGAAGTGGTTAGAGTGCTGGACCAATTCAGGAAGACGGGAGCTCAAATTTGTGTCAGACATTTATAAGCTACATGACTCCATCACTTGACTTCTGCTTGCCTCTGTTTCCATGTCTATAAAATCAAGATAATACTAGCACCCTATCACCCAGAGTTATTGTGAAGATCAAACTAGATAATATTTATAAAGCATTATGCAAACCTTAAAATACTACATAAATGCTAGCTATTATTAATATTAACAATTGCCTTCATTAAATTCTAACATTAATACATACTATGTGACCTCAGGTAAGATGTGTAATTTCTCAATACCTTCAGGCAACTCTGCAAGGTTGGAAATTGCAGAGAAGACATTGTCAATCCGATTCGGGGGAGTGAGCTTCCTTATCAGAAAATTTCTTACACAGATGAAATCATGGGTACTTTAAAAAAAAGAAATCATGCCATATTATTAGGGAAAGCATTTTGTAAACATTAAAGTATTATATAAACTTGAATATAAAAAAATTAGGGAAGTTGAATAACATAGAAATTGTAAGGTGAATTGTTAGCCATTATATTGCACTTTTATCCAATCTCTTCTACTCATTTCCTGAGGCATGGTTTGGGAGTTGAGGAAGTCACCATCTTGAAAGCTGTGCTGGCAGGCTTTTGGGTGTAAATGAAATGGAATAGATCAAACCAATGGTAGGAACTCTGGGGCTGTGGCTGAAAGTGGAGCTATTTATTGGTGGCAGAAGTGGCCATTACTACACTCTAAACTTTCTTAGAACACAAGGGAAAAAGAACGCTACCAAAAATGTAGACATTGCTTTTCTTTTCCTTTCTTTTCATATTTCCTCTGGTAGAGCTCCCTTTTCATCTTATTTTTTTTTCACTATTCCCATTCAACCTATCCAATACTTGTTTTCCATGTCTCACAAATTTCCTTCTCTTTTCCCATGCCAGGTGTCTCATTACATGTGTGATCACACAAATGTTTTGAGCCATTTGTAATGAAATAAATCTTTTGTTTATTCCCCTTAATTTGTGTGTAATTTGGTTTATGTGGCCTAATTTATATGAAATTTGGTTTTTTCCCTCACCGGTGAAATATCTTTATATTTCTACAAATATGTGTCACTGGTCAAAATCTAGATAATTAGAGTAGGAGTCCACAGATATGAAGATCAAGGTCAGGCTACAATTTTTGATATTTGATCTTTTATAATTTTATTCAAATCCTGGAGATATTTCTGGTGTGTATTTCAGTGGGCTAGGAAAGGGACATGAATTTGGTATCTGTCATTGGCTTGCTGAATAGCTTGGGGAAAGTCACAACACCCTAGGCAAATGCCTCATTTTCCTTATCTGAAGAACGAAATTGCCAAGAAGGATTGATGAATTAGTGAATTTCAGAACATGTCAACAAGTCTTGAATTAACCTGACTGAAGAATAAGAAATGCAAAGAATAAAGACGCTAGAAACAAAAGAGGTTTGCATGCAGAAAAAAATATATATTCTGTACTCTCCAAATTAAAGTTGGCTAGAAATAATATCATAAAATTACTTTATTGATCTCATAAGACAAGGAATAACACAATTTTAACAACCATTTAATTTCTAGCACTTCCAACTGAGCAATAAAGTGGTTTGCCATAATTTTTGCTGCTTTTAGGTGGCCAGTTTGACTCTAATTGCTGATTGTGCAAAGATGCCCTTGATAAGCCTGATTATTTCAGGCTGCATCATCTGTAAGGCAGTGCATTCATTCTTAACCTCATTGAAAATTTCACACACAACTATGCTCAGGGCCAGAAGCTTCTACCTAATTCAGCACAACTCTAAGCAGCTAGAAAATCTGGAGTTCAGTTGGTAGAGTACCGCCATAACCAAACCCTCCCATATTTAGAGGATCTTGATAAAGTTTTTGTGGAGCTGGATACTTTTTTTTATCTTTTTCTCATGGCCTCTCCCTTGTGAGTTGAGGATTAAAGAGAGAATATCACTAGTAGCTATAGAGGGAGAGAGAAAAGGGGCATGAATAGGTCAGAGATATCTACTAGCTTCCTATGTGCAAAAGGAGAAAATCTGGATCAAGGTGTATAAGAAAAACACTCCAGAGTTCTGGCTAAAGGATATAGTGAAAGAAATCTAAACACAATAAATGATAGCAGCTATACATACACTCAAGACTTTGTCACTTAAGAAGTTGGAGTAATGACTATTAGGTCAGTGGCTGTAAGACAATCCTATAAACATGGATTATAAGATTTAAACAGGCTTTGCCTCACAACAATTATGTCAGCAGCTAATGGTGATATCGGTTGAGCTATCCTGTCTTTCTGCTTCATCACTTAAAGCGACAGCATCCAGTTTTCCAGTATGCATCTATCATAAAGACACATTGATTTCCTTTCTGGAGAAACACATATTTCTTCTCTCCTGCTAAAAAGATAAATCTGACAGATTTTAATCAAATGTAGTTGTTCACAACTACAGAAAAGCTTACAGTTTCACAGATGAAAAAAAAAACTCTGACCTCAGAAAGAGGATGATTTCTGAAGATTAATTTATTTGGAATATATACTAGTACAAGAAATGTAACAATATGCATGAGAAATTAACAGCACAGAAAACTCTAAAGCATTTATGTTTTGCTGGACTTTGACATATCATAGTCATCCAAATATAGGCTACATTTTCCCAAGTCTAGCTTATATAAAATTTTAGCATGGCTTATAATTGGTGTTATTTTTAATGTACAACTACACATGCTTTTCTTTTTCTTAAAGAGATTCTATCTGAAGGAGGCATAGTATAGCCTAAAGTCAGACCCATGTGGCAATGCTAATACTTGGAGTGTCATTTGTAAAATCCAAGGCCAGTTGGAATTTCCATCATCCCTACTATGTAGAAGCCCCATGCTGTGGTGGACAAAGATCTGTCCTTAGAGTCAAGAAGAACTGGCTTCAAGTCCTTCCTCTGACACATCCTGGCTTTGTGATCCTAGGTAAGTCACCTAACTTCTTATTGCTTCAAGAAATACTATAGGACTATCAGTTGCAGAGAAGGTGAAGATCTGTATTGGTTAAATGAGTTTCTCCTCCAGAACTCTCCACATGGATGACATCATCAATCTGGCCCAAACTTCCTACCTTGCCCCCCATACTACTATGCCTTCCCTTAACTGCTGTTTTCACAAATTTTTACAACTTGGTCATTTATAAATAATTACTTCCAAGATAAAACCTTGCTTGCAAAGGAATTGGTTTAACTAATGCATAAAGATGAAGAATAACCATATGCAACTACTCAAATCAACTCTCATGCATGCTTTTTGAGGGGTTTACTATTTAAACTGTACATATTTTGCCATTATTATTATTATGGTTATGATTATTATGCATTTAGATTGTCTTACAAATGTGTAAAGTGATTTACAGTTCTTAGTTTTCTTTTGAAACTATGCCAAGGAAGGATGAGACTAATTGCTCTCCCACCTCACTTTTTTTCCCCCAACAGATGTTTAAGTTGAAACCCACACTGATTCTGTATTTTTTTTTTCCTCCCAGGGGTCAACTAAGCAAGTCAGTGAGAGAAAAGACTTAAAGCTCACAGTTCTGTACTCATTTGTACTTAATTCATTGATGAGTTCACTGACTTACACTTTTCTGTGTAAACTGAGATTCTAGATCAAATCCTTATAAGTATTTCATTCTTACGTCTATTTCCCTCCATAAAAGTCCTACTCCAATGCCTTGTTGTTGTGTTTAGGTGACGCTGAGTTCTTATAGGCCATTCCCTCACAATGCAAACAGATTTTATCATTCTGGAAAGGCTTTGGGTACGTTTTCATGCTGTGTGTATTTTCCTAAGACCAGCTTAGCTACAAATGGAGAGGCTCAATACCAACTTTAAATAAAGTAGCCTGCCACTTGGTGCTGATCAATTCTTTGGCCTTGGTATATATATAAAATATATATATATATATATATATATATATATGAAACAAAGAAAAACATGAAAATCATCTTCTGTACTGTGCAGTGCCCTTCTACCTCTGTAGAGATGGTGACAAAAATATCGGAAATGGACACAGACAGTGCTGTCTGCGAAGTTTTAAAGTCACCTATGAATATTAACTTAACTTTTAATACTCTATATGAGACATTCTTATCCAGTGATCAACCAGATATATTCCTAGCAGAAGTAATTCATGAAAATCTGGAATAGATACACAACCACAGGAATTAGATTGTAAAAATATTGATAGATTTTTCTAAATTAAAATGGAAGATAAAAAGGAAGTTGCCAGTAGCTGGAAGGATGACTCACAGATTCTTTTTCAAGAGGCAAGTGAAGTTAATTTCATTGTGTGTCTATTGGCAACAAGAAACACAATTTTGTGGAACATCTGATCACCTTGTATTGTAGTGCTCATGATTAGTATCTACAAAAAGACCACTGTGAAAATAAACCAAATTTATAGAGCAACCTCTATTATAGAGGATGAAAAAATAAAGATCTATGAAGAACTTAATAAAATCTAACAAATTCAATTAACCTACAGTATGCTTTGATACTATGAGGGACAGCGTGGTGTGGTAAATAAAGAGCTTGACTTGTTATCTAGAAGACCTGAGTTCAAATCCCAGTTCTGATACATACAGGCTATATGACCCTAGGTAACTACCTAACCTCTCAGTGCCCCAGCCAATTCTCCAAGACTGCAAATTGCAAAGAGGTGCCAATCTCCATTGGTAGATACTGGTTCCTCTTTGAGTTTCCTTTGCCAATGAACTCAAAGATACAGTATCATTTCATCCCATATTTTGATACTAACTAAACTTCAGTGCAAATGTGGGCATAGGTAACATTAAAAAATATTGGAAAATAAGGTTCAGGAGTCAGGAATCAGAGAGGCCAAAGATCTCAAAGAATTATCACACTTACATGTTATTGATTTTTTCTTCAAGAAAAGAATCATGTATACATAATAAACACCAAATAACATCACAAAGAAAGTGGTTCTATGTTAACAGATAGGAAATAACTTACTACTGATGTGGGAGTAATTTATGAATCAGCTCTTCATGTAAAGTTGAGTCATCAATCTATTAGAGCAGAGATCAACAGTAACACAGACAGAAGTAAGAACAAATTAAATATATGCTACATTACAAGTAACTATGACCTGAAATATTTATATGTTATACACTCTGAAAAATGGGAAATGGTTAAAGGAAAGGACATTGACACCAATAATGACAAATTCTTACAGAAGTTTAAGAGCTGAAAGATGGTCTCAGCATCAGCAAAATATGGGTTACAGTCCCATATTTAACACATAACAGTAGTCTCTTCCTGGGCAAATTACAGCTTCACAGTACCCTAAGCAATTCTCTGAGATAATAAATTGCAAAATAGTTGCATATTTACATTGGTAGAGCTCCTCCTACTACTAAAAAATAATTACAATAGTAGCTAGCATTTATATACACTTGAAGGTTTACAAAGCACTTTATATATGTCATCTTATTTCCTAATGGGGATTTTCCTATACCAATTAAATCTCGGGTCCAGGCCCTCTACATGGCTAATTATCATCATTATGAAATTAAAAGTGCCTAAAACTCACCTCACTCAACAAACACTTTATTTGATTGACAAGAGGAGAAAAATGGTAACCAATAGAAGCATTTGCTTCAAATATAAATTCATTTGTAAAATCTTAAGAGTCAAATAGTGGAAATCCATGATCAGTATCACCTCATAAAATAGGGAGAATTAAGGGAAGGGGACAAAGTAGAAAGAAAGCTTTGTGAGTAACCCAACTAAGCAAAGTCATCCTGAGAGCACTTAAGGGTGAAACTTGGAGGACAAAAGATTAAAGATATATAGTATTAGATACGCAATTTTTTTTTATAAGGAACTATTTTCACCATCAAGAATAGTGAAGCTACCACATCTGGACTTTAAACATTACACAATCTTAGTTGTGCTTGAAGAAGAAATGACTTTGAAGAAAATATAGATGGAAACAACTATACCAAGAACATATCAAAGAAATTTATGCTATAAGAGGTGCAATTTGGAGAGAGTTGAAGGATTGGCATGGAGAGAGTCTTAAATAAAAGTATTATCCCAAAGAGGAGACTAAGGGAACATCAGTAACTACTTATTCAAATGACTACTTTTAGAAAAATGTAAAAAAACAACAACATGAGAATGATCTGCCTGTGAATTGAAGGTGTATAATACCCTAGAGGAGAATATTGGCAAGAAACAAGCATGTTTTCACAAGTAACACTCTAGTAGATTCCACAATTGACTGTAGTACGTGGAGAATATCTGATCACACTCTGAATTTTTTGTAATCTCTAAAAAAGTGTTGTATTCAATAGAATAATACAGTGCCATAGAAGATTTTATCCAACGAGGGATTTCCCATGCAGACATCAAAATTACTCAAACTTCTTTGAAAAATATGGCAGTCAACAAATATATATATTAAGCACCTACTATTCCAGGCACTGATCTAGGGATTAGGAATATTAAAAAAAAAAAAGCAAAAACATCATCTCTGCCCTCAAAAAGCTAATATTCTAATAGAGAGAAATAATGTGCAAAAATTAAATATATACTAAAATATATACAGAGTAGATAGAAAGTAATCCCACAGGGAAGACATTAGGGGAAGAAAAGGCCTAGGAAAGATGTCTTGCAGAAGGTGAGCTATGAGAGGAGTTTTGAGAAAAGCCAGAGAAATGAAGAGGTAAAAAGGGAGAACATTTGAGACATGAGGACAGCCTATTAAAAGGCACAGATCTGGGCATTGCAGTGTCCTGACTGAGGGAACAGTAAGTCAGCCAGTGTTGCTGGACTGTAGAAAACATGGAGAAGAGCAAAATTTAAGAAGATAAAAGGGAGAGAAATAGTCAGATTATAAAGAACTTTAAAAGCCAAACAGGATTTTACATTTGATCCTAGAGGTAATTGACAGCCATTGGAATTTATTGAATAGGGAGGTGACATGGTCAATTCTATGCTTCAGGAAGATCACTTTGGCAGTTGAGTGGATGATAGGTTGGAGTGAGAAGAGATTTGTGACAGAGAGACCAATAGACAGGCTATTGTAGTAATTCAAACATGAGGTGGTGAGGGCCTACACAAGGGTGGCAGTTGAATGAAGAGAATGGAGATACTACCTATACATATGTGTATGCATGCATGCATATGTGTTATATATGTACGTATACATATACACATACATATGTGTATGTGTATATGCATGTATATATATATTATATTGATATAAATAAGTGATACCGTAGAGATAGAAATGACAAGACTGGGTAACTGATTGTATATGAGTAGGGATATTGTCAGTTTTTTCTAATGCTCCAAACTTCCCCTTGAAACAACTACCTATCCTTTTCATGTCAACAGTTTTCTGGAAATGTATGTATAGCTGGGAGTCATTCGATACTATGCTCACTGAAGAATTGAAGTTGAGATCACACAAAGAGCAATTAAGAGGTGCCTGGTGAACACGAACAGGTTGTAAAGCCTTATAAACAAGGAATTACAAAGGAAGAGCAGCATAAATAATGTCATCAAAGAAATTCACAAAGGAAAGAAAAAATGGCCAAGAGTGGAGGATAACCAATGAGCTGCCTGCATACTCCATTGCTTTTCCTGCAATATCAGAACTAGAGAAAGGCCCCCAGCATGGTGGATAGACATGTTCCTGAAAAACTTATGACAGAGCATGAATAAGTCTCACAGGAGGGACAGGTAGGACTGGATTTTGATTTAATTGTAGGAGAGAATATATATATATAGAGAGAGAGATAGATATATCTATATCTATCTCTCTCTCTCTCTCTATATATATATCTTTGATAACATGGATTCATTTGAATATTTGATACATTTGTTTTTACAATTTCCTTTCTATTTCAATGAATCTGGTTCTATTTCCAATTGGCAATGAAGTGATCAACAAGTCTTGTTCTTTACCTGATGGGAATTGGCTGTTCTGATATATGCAGAATACATCTTATTCCAATTAATTCACAGAGGCATGAAAAAGAATCCACACTATGAGTGGAAATAGGGAAATGCAGATTTACTTTATAACAAATACACAGCTAATTTACAATGGGCCCTTCTTAACAAAGTGTTTCTATTTTATTCTTGTGTTTTGGAATATTATTCTAATGCATGGTATTTGGTATTTGTAGGAAATGTCTTCTTAATAATCTTAAACAGTGATTCATACGTATTTATATGTGCAATATTTCTCTGACACAAGTGGTAATTTCTTGCATGAATTCCTCAGTGTTTCAGTGGGAGAAAAGAATGATTTCTCTTTTTAAAAATGAATTTTAAAGTCCCCCTTTGAGTGCTGTAAAGCCATTCTTAGCTCCTTAAAATTGTAAAATATCATTATTTATATGATAACATGCCTTTATAAATGAATTGTATTATAATGCATAGTCCAGTTAATTCCAACAAGAGCTTCAGTTTAAAGGTGAGATAGCATATTTGATTTTAGTTCCAAAAGGTGCTATTTCTTCTGAGAGGCATGAAGTGACAAAGCAGTGAAGATGAAGAGTAGCTAAATCAGAAGTTAAATTATAAGAATAATGTGAGAGTCAGGTTGGCATTTAGATGGCAACAAGAATAAATTAACTCTACCAAGTTAAAAGTAAGACAAGTAAATCCAATAAAATGGACTTTACCCATTGAATGAAGAAGAAAAAAACAGTGATTTGTTTGTCTCTTTAGTAGTTTTCTATTTCTATATAGAGTCTTAAAGTAATTTATATCTCATCTGATCTCACTACAATGCTTTACAATGAGTGGTATAATTGTTATCATCTTCACTTTATATGAGGATATATTATCTGTCCAGAGCAGAAGACAGGAATAGAGTAATTAAAGTCAAAGAATATATGGCTAAGAAGTGGCAAAGTTAGGACTAAAGCCTAGGCCTTTCTGTGTCTAAACACATTGCATTAGAATACACTGCCACCTTTGGCAGGAATTAGGGTATATGCATAATATGTGATATTTGTGTATGATTATAAGAAAAGAAAGCCAACAACATTTGAAAGTTAAAAGTAAACCATTCTCACATTAGAAGTTTGAAATTCTTTGCACAAAGTTTCACAGTGCTCTATTCTAGACATACTGGAAGATTTGAAGTCTCAAGAAAACTATCGCCTGGAGTATGATTTATATATGTTGAACAGACAATAAACTCTCTATGGTCCTTTGCCCCCAAAGAGGGTGCTACCGACTAGCTATAATTCAAGTACAGTATTTTGAAACACTGATTGTAATAGTTACCTAGTTTTTTTTTCTTATTTGCAAAAGAGGCAATTCATTTTGCAGGACATTTCAAAATGGCAAATGGCCAACAACCATCTTGACCAAAGGTACAAGCAGAAGGTATTGCAAAACATAAAACCCAGAGAATATTTAGGAAAGATGGAAAAGAAATGCAAGAATATTCGTATATCCATGTAGCTTTTAAAACTATATACCATTATGCACATTTTCATGATGGTTCACATAAAATTGCAAAAGCACAAGGCTGAATAAATTTGTGAATGAATTACAAAGGAAAGAGAATAGATTCCAATTTGCAACGAAATTTCACTTATTGTTAGAGGATATGTAGAATGCTAATGCCACTGTTAACTATGTGAATAGATAATGTGATCTCGTTCTTCCTAACTTAACCAAAACTGAAAGCACCTTGTGACTAATCCATCAAAGGTAGGGGGTTGGGGGGAAAAGGTACAAACCAAAGATCTTTCTCCCTTCACTAAAACTAACTGTTACAAGATGGGAAAAGGTAAAGTCTTAAAGCCAAAATTTCCTTTTGTGTGCCAAGCATATTTCAAAATATATTTTGGTAAAAAGAAGGGGGAGTTGAACTTCTAAAAAAATGTGCTTAACTCTCATGGAATAAACTATTCAGACCAAATGTCATGCCATCATTCTTGTCTTCTCTGATTCAATTAACAGATGAGTAGAATCAGAGAAATTAGGGCTTAATGCGAGCTCCAGAGTTCCTCTGGTCCAGTGTTATCAAACTCAAATAGAAACTGATCCCTGTGGACTGTATATTGACTTAGAAAACCACAAATTAACATTATATATGTTGCACTGTGATTTTTGTTGTTGTTGTTGTTGCTAAGCATGTTCAAATTACATTTTATTTTGGTTCAGGCCACAGTCCAGAGATCAAGTTGGACACCTCTGTTCCAATACACTCCACTGCTTTCAGATAGGTTCACTTAAATATTTTAAGGTAAATTTGAAGGTATCACAGTCAAAAAGTTCTCAGATGGAGATTGTCACCCATCAGTTCTATGTCTTTCAGACAGAAGAAACTCCACTATTTCATCTTTTCTTTGAAGGGCTTATTTTCTAACCATTCACTTATTTTGGTAGCACTTCTTTGAACACTCTCTAAATTCTACGTATCCTTCTAATATTGAGGATTCAAACAAGAGAGGAGAATATATGGCAAGATTATCTCTCAGTACTTGCACATTCTTTTGTTTCATACATGTCTGAAACAGTTTGACTTGCTAACAAGAATGCCATATGTGGCAATTAATATTTCTGATGCTTTTATGTGTTCACTATTTATGTTGGATGTTCTGAGATGCATTCCTAGGGCACAACATTTTTTATATTTTATAAATACTTCTTCCCCATTTACCAGGACAGTAGAGAGTGATCTCATTCTTAACCTAACCAAAAATGAAAGCACTTAGTGCCTATGCCTGATTATACTATTTTTTGCAACGTTTTGACTATTTAAAAAATTACCAAAGTTATAATTTTGTCTTAAAAATCAAAATGGTAATACCATCTCCATTGGCAAGAAGAAAGAACCTGTAGGTCTGATCCTATGGAGTAAGCCACTTGCTGGCATACTATTTAGTAAATTACTCTGGTGCAATAAATGATGGCCTCGAGACCTGTAAGAATGAGTGATCCTTCAGAAGTTCTTGCTCTCCTGGATTAGGCAGTTGGCAGTCTTTTTTACACCACAATTATGTATTTCAGTGGTATGCATGTTATCAATATATGTTTTTAATCTTTATTTGGCATATTTCAAGTTTTTATCTTTCTTCCCATATGCACATAAACAACCCTGGGCCAGATATCAGGCACCCCTAGTGATTCACTCTATGAGTTGGGATTTGTTCAAAGAATATTGGCAGCCAGATGGCAGCTGTTAAGCAGCCTGTATAAGAGGAGAGAGTAGAGGTTAATATCCATTGGCATCTAGACAAATGTATTTTTTCCCTCACCTCTGATTATATCCTGCTGCAAGGGCTAAGCAGGAGACTTCTTGGTCCATGGGAATACCCTCATTCTTTAGTTTCTATTTACTTTTCCTATGAGCTATGTGGTCTTGCCTTTTGAGATCTGGGCACCTTGAGACCAGAGGGAAGGAGAGATTCATTTCCTTCCTCAAAAAATGAGCAAAAATTCTGAATATGTACTTCCTTCATTTTCCAACAAATCAGAAGCTCCTTTCTATTTTCTTTTGCTAACCCTCATGACATAATACTATGCATAATTCAGACTAAGCAAATGATGATGATGATGATGATGATGATGATGATGACCGATTCTTTGAATTATCTAATTAAAGAACATTAGAACTAGGAGGGGCCTTATAGATGATAATGCTTTGAGCATTGTGGCTCTGTAACAAATGGTTATTTAATGAATCATCTAGTCTAGGGGTGGGGAATCTGCAGCAAGGCCACATGTGACCTTCTAGGTCTTTGGGTGTGACCTTGGACTGAGTCCAAGTTTTACAGAGCAAATCCTTTAACTAAGGGGATTTGTTCTGTGAAGTTTGGATTCAGTCAAAGGGCCACACTTGAGGACCTAGAAAGCCACAGATTCCTCACCAATGATCTTATCTAACCCATTCATAGTATACATGAGGAAACTGAGGCCCAAAGTCACATAATTTTTTAATTACAGTTCTAGGACTGAAAACTTTCAACTGACTCTCAGGCCAATGTTTTTCCCAATATATCCTTTGCCTTTCTTGGACTCCATGAGTGGGAATAGTGAATTACATTCATTTTCTCCCCTTTTTATGATATATGTGGACAACAGCCTTATTTTCATTCCTGAAATTGGATTTCAGGGCACTCAAAAAGAATGTGAAACTTGAATGAAGTAGGATGGGTTAAGAGAAGATCAGTTGCTCTTATCTTTATTCCCAATCTCCTCAGACTGCAATAGCCTAAGGGAACTTTCCTAAATTTTTCCAACTTACTTTGCAGACACAATATTTAGTGGCTAAGTCATTGTGGAGCTCTCAGAAGGTGTGGTAATCATTCTTGTTAAACCAGTTCAAAGTTGACTAGAGCCCCAACCCTTTAGCCCTTGCACATGAGTGTAACCACTATACTAATCAATGGGACTTTTGTGTGCAAAAGGGCAGAAGGAAATTTTTGTGTTAGAAAAGACTGTGGGGAAACTCCCCTCATTTTTCTAGGGGCTGAGTAAGAAAACATTACATGTATGAAGCACAGCACACATTGTAGACTCCACATAAGCATCATTTAGCTAAATCAAAGAATTTAGGTTTTTTGGGAAAAAAAAATAACCAGGTATTTTTTTTTTCTGATAATGACAGGAATTGTCCCTAGGTATCAAATCCAATAATATCTTCAGTATCCTCCATAAAATCCAGTAATAGCCTCAGAATTGTATCCTGAAAAGCTTCAGACCCAATTCTTCAAATTACTGTTTTAAGACACGATTCTATCAAATAGGTATAGAATAAAATTATCTGAAAAAAGTTACAATTGTTCATCATTCTATTCCTTTGTTGCCCTTGAGGTTTGAGTTTTAAGCAGTCTCCAAATGCATTTTTTGAAGTAGCATAAAAGTGTATTTTATCTAATCTAACTCTAGTAACTTGGTAGATATGCACTTAGGAGGTCTATTGCCATTGATTGTTTTTTTTTTTAATTTTTGTTTTGTACTATTTTTACATTTTTGAGTAATAACATGAATATAAGCACCTAAAGGTCATGGACAATTTCAGTTTTTTTGTCATTGTATCCCCATCACTTAGTACAATATTTGGCACATAGCATGTGCTTAGTAAATGTTTTTTGATTGATTGATAATATCATCACCATCTACAATTCAACTGATACTTCATATCTAATATGGTATATCTGACTGTATCTTCATTCAAATTCATTTTAATTTGTTTCTTTTTAACTTTTGAGAGATTTCAGTTGCTACTGAGTCAGTGGCAGGAACTTCATGGTAGAGCTATAACTAGTATTTTTTGCATCTGAGGCAAGCAGCATGAAAGTTATTCTTAAATCAATGTTTTAAGACAAATTCATTTGCGGGAAGAGGGTAGAGATCAGGATACCCAGTCCCCATGGGCAAAGCCCATGAAGCCATTCTGCTACAAAGAGAGGAAGAGGAGTTCACATGTTGTATAGTAGCTAGTGGGAAGTAGCTTATTCTATCTGCTAGGGCAGCTAAGTGGCACAATAGATAGAGAACAGGCTTGGAGTTAGGAAGACTCATTGTTATGAGTTCAAATCCAGCCACAGACTCTTATGAGCTGTGTGACCCTGGGCAAGTCACTTCACTCGGTTTGCCTCAGTTTCCTCATCTGTAAAATGAGCTGGAGAAGAAAATAGCAAACCACTTCAGTATCTTTGCCAAGAAAACCCAAAAATGGGGTCACAAAGAGTTGGACACAACTGAAAAGACTGAACAACAAAACAAACTTCCTAGTTGAACAACTTATTCTTGATAACTGTACTAAGCTCAGCTTCATGGCCAAGAAATATATGTACTGTCAATGCCCTCTAAGTTTTGGTGCTTTGTGACAAATCCTCAGTTGCAACACCCTAGTAATGGATAATTTGTAACTTCGTTCCTCTTTGTTTGGTCCACATTCAGACCAGAGAATACTTTTGTGTGCTATTTAGTCATACCAATAGCAATTTGTGCTCATCCAAATGAAACTGCACCAACATTTCAGACTTATTGCTGACATATTGAACAAATAATAGCACTAAGGGTTGCTTTTCTCTTTCTTATAAAAACTTAAAAAAAAACAAATTGAAATGATATTTTATGAAACCAATCCCTATTAATGTGCTGATTGGATGTCTCTTTGTGATGGTGAGGTGATTTAATATTCTTGAAGGTAATGCCAGCAGAACACAAGCTTTGTCTGGATCTACAAAGATGTAGAGACTTTAAATACAAGCCTGGTGGCTAACTGTATATCTATCATGGAGGATCAACCTAGTTAAAGTCAGAGAAGAACATCACCAAGTTGGCTGCAGGACGATGGAAATTTCAGCCTCAACAACTCTTATTGACTAGCTAACAGGTCACATGTTAAGATTTATATCATTGGAAAGAGTGCCCATACCAACAAAATCATAGCTCTTTAGAGTATGACATTGTCGTTGATGAAACCAACTGAGGTTGGTACTAGATCTCCATATTATGTGTTGAACAATTGGATGAGGCATATGTTTCTTCAGGAAGGTAACAAAAGGAAAAATCTCATATTTAAATTTGGCAAGCCTTCAACAACTCTATACATGAATGGCATCTTGACTATGTAATAAAACTGTAGTTATGGTTATGATCCTCATAAACAGATCTTCACACAAGATTGAAAATTGTGTTGAGAATAATGATCTGATTTTTCTTCCCCTTCATATGTCACTGACTTTTATCTGACGAATAGTCTGAAGTATTCTCTAACAAATTTATTTCAGGCCATTGATAATATTCTCAAAATGGATCTTCTGAATGATTTAGCAAATTCAACATTCTTAATATTTATCTGCATGTTTTAGTAACATCCAAATAATAATTTGGGAATAAGTCCATTAATGGAAACTAACAGCCAATTGTTCTGTTTGTGTATAGCTTTTTATCTTTTAAAATTAATTTTTATTGATAAATTTTGTTTTTACATTAAAATGTCATTTTTATATCATCTTCACTTATGAAAATAGATCTGTTTCCCATCTTTTATCATAAAGAATAGCAAGAATAGAAAGAAAGAAAGAAAGAAAGAAAGAGGAAAAAGCCATAAAACTAATCAATTTGTCAGCTGAGACTGAAAGTATATGCAATGTTCCACACCTGGAGTACCACATTTCTGCAAAGAAGGAATAAAAAATACATTTTCTCTTCTCTTCTTCTGGGGTAATGGGAATAAGCATTTATACAATGCCTACTGTATGCCAGGCACTATACTAAGTGCTTTACACATATTATCTTATTTGATCTTCACAACAACCATATGAGGTAGGTGCTATGATTATTCACATTTTACACTTAAGGAAATTGAGTCACATAGAGGTTAAGTGGCTTCCCAGGGTTACAAAGCTAGACAGGTCTTCCTGACTTTAGGTCTAGCTTTCTATCTATTCCATCGCCCAGCTACCAACAGTTTGATCATTATCATGTTTCTCAAAATTAAAAAAAAAATTCCAAAGGGCGATAGTGTCACAAGCAATGTGCTTTAATAACCTTTGAAGATAGGAACAGGACAATAGATGTGCATATTTACCACTGTATTTTCCAGTATTAACTAGTGCCTCAGATAACATACTCTCTGTGTGACCCTGTGCAAGTCATTTAACCTCTGTTTACCTCAGTATTCTCATCTGTAAAATGGGGGTAATAATAGCATCTACCTCCCAGGGTTCTTGTGAAGATGAAATGAGGTAACATCTGAAAGTCCTTAGCACAGTGCCTGGCACATAGTAGGTGCTCTGTAAATGTTAGTTCATCATCATCATCATCACCATCCTCCTCCTCCTCCTCTTCCTCTTCATCATTACTATTTTAAGATCTGAATACATTTGTATAATAGGGATAACAGTACACTTTTGGGGAAGCTGAATTTTGATCAGAATTTTTCTCCCCTTATTAGTTGTGTAGATGACATTGATTGCTTTCTGATGTCAAAATGCATAGAAATGGTTAAGGAATTCTGATGATTTCTGTGTCTTTGGCTCACCTTCACCTCTGTATTTTCTCATCACCAGTCCTTAGTTCTAGGTCCTTTGCATGGTCATAAAGCTCCTTCCACATTCTGGACTTCAATAGCTATAGATATCAATCATTATATTAAAATGAACCGTAACTTTGAGGCTTTATAAATTCCAAATGCAGACAGAGTAACATAAAGGACCAATTTTCTCTGTAACATGTCAAAGAAAGACTCAAAACAAAACAATTGAACTGTTTATGCTTAGCAAGCACTTAACTATGACTAGTATATTTGAATATCTTCCTACCCACATCCCAGGCACAACTCTATTTAATTTCTTTCATTGTTTTGAAAAATGAGTTGAAGGCAGTGTGAGAATTTGGTTCAAAGTTTCTAAGACAGAGAAACCCAGAAGTGCTTGGGGACATTGTATCTTTTCCCTTTAATTTGACATTTGGAGACTTTCCTACCATTAGCCTGTGATATTAGACTAGAGAAATTCACTGAGACCATACAGGCACACAGACTCTACAATGTTTAAAAAAAAAATCAAAAGGACAGACTTACAATAATAACTTGTTGAGGTGGTTCCGATATTGAAGAACTATAGGAATGCTTTATAGTCAGTGACTTCTGCATGATATTTGCATAGAGAGAACTTTAAAAAAGGTTACATTTCTTTTTTACTTTCATATTTACTTTGTGTTAAGGTTATATGATCTTGTTGGCAGCAGAACTGATGCTATTTTAGTAAACTCCAAATCCATGTTCAAATGTAGTAAGATGGAAATTTTGAACTACAGCAGTAATAAATGCATTTTCATCTTCTCTTAACGTTAAAGCTTCAGCCTGCCTTGGATGAAGTGAAGTTTGTTTCTATCACAATTCCCAAGCAAGAGAGGGATGTTCTGTTTCCTAATTCCAGAGATTTTTCGCCCTTTGGATTAAATGCATTTCTGACTATGCTGTAAGTACCCTTTAAAGGAGTGGTAAGGAAATGTCAAATGGGCCTGGTTCTCGATAAAAACCTTTACTCAATAACATAGGTTCTTTACTTTGTGTTAAAGATATATGACTTCTGTCAGTCAAGGCTATGATCTGCTAGATTTATGAAATACTAGTCTTGGCCAATGAAGTGTGAATTATGCAGGTAGATATATATATATATATAATCTGAGACATCCCCCAGATTCATCCTCAGAATATATGATACTAAGTTAGCTTATATGGAACTTTCATATAAAAAGAGCAATTTTTCCCTCTCCATTTTTGTCTTTTTTTCACTTAATATTCTTTTTTGCATTGAACTTGTGGAAAAATGTGGAAGAAATGAAAAACTAACTAATCAATCAGAAGGCATCTTTTGGATGTATATTCAGCAGAAAGTTCTTTATGTGGTGAGGTAGCTAAAAGCACAAACCATTCCATGTTAAATGACTTTTTTCCCCATCATATACTTTGGGGCAGCTTGACATAGGAGATAAATTACTGTACTCGAAATCAGAAAGACCCGAGTTCAAATCTCATTTCAGACATTTACTGTGTGACTCTGAGAATATCACCATGTGTCTTAATTCCCTCATCTGTAGAATGGGCTACTCATATACGCAGCTACTTTAAAAGGTTATTGTGAGGGTCAAATGGTATAATGAATAGAAAGCATTTTGTGAATACTAAAATAATATGTACATTTCACTTTTTATAAGAGGAAGTGTGTTTTTTATGGGCAGAACATGGGGTGTAGAGTCAGAAAGACATAGATTTTGGTATCACCTCAGACACATACTAGTTGTGGGGCCTTAACCTCTCTCAGTCTCAGCTTCCTCATCTGTGAAATTAGGAAATAGCAAGCATCTCTTAGGGTAATTGGGAGCATTGAATGAGATAGTAAATGTAAAATGCTTTGCAAATCTCAAAGCACTATTTAAACATGATCTTTTGGTGTTTTTGAAACACCTAATAAACTAATGTAGTCATAGTTTGACCTAGAAAATCAAACTACCGCTGACACACATAGTCACTTTGAAATGGAAAAAGAAGGCATGATGGCCATACAGGCTAACCATACAGGGCTCACCAAAGAAAGTAACACGGGATTTCTCCATTAGAACTGGCATCTCGTCTTCAGAGCCAGCAAGTGAACAGTGACAAATAAGTTCTGAGCAAGCCTTCATATGGTTCACTATAGGACTCACTGATGAGATTTCCCAGATCACATAAGTGCTAGTCCTAATAATATAGACCTGCACTAGAGGAATTCCAAGAGCTTTTAGTCCAGTGGATTTAGTTCAATATGATTTAATTCCACAGACATTTTTTGGGTACCTCTTCTGTGCAAGTCAATGTGCTGGGTATTAGGGGGAAGACAGCAATGAAGAAGATCTTGATTTTATGTAGTTGACAAGCTAAAAAAGGGGAAGAGGAGTATGAGACAGGTGTACATATAATCATAACAAAGCATAGAATGAGAAAGCATGAGAGGCACAAAGTAAGAAAAGACTGCACTAAATAGCTGAAGTATGGAGATGTCAAAGTATTAGTCACTTCACCAGCGCTGCTAAATATCTAAACTAAGTGATCAATTTTACAAAAAAAAGAAAAAAGTTATTTTGGAATTGTCTGCCGCTTTGAATAGGAATATAGTTTCGGACCTTACAACTCTAGTTTACCATTGATCAGACAATGGACATTATCTTTTGACCTGGTTCATCCCTCCAAAGCATTGTTTCTTAGACTTTTTTTGTATCATGGATTCTGCTGGCGGTGTGGTGAAGCCTGTTCAGAACAATGTTTCTAAATGCATAAAACAAAATACATAGTATTTAGAAGGAAACAATTATATTGAAAAACAGTTTTAAAGTTCACAATCCAGGCCAGGGACTCTGGCCTACTTGCTATTCCTCTCACAGGACGCTCCATCTCCCCACTGCACACATTTTCATTGGTTGCCTCTAAGCCTGAAATGCTCTCCTGTGTCATTGCCACCTTATAGCTTCCCTGGCTCCAAGTCTCAGCTACAATTCCACCTTCTGGGAGAAGCATTTTCCAGGCCTCCTTAATCTTGATGACTTCCTTCTAAGACTAGTCAGCCTATCCCTACCCCTGCTCCCAAATTTATCTGCTATAGATCTTTCAGTACATAGTTGTTAACATATTTTATCCCTCACTAGACTGTTCTCCTTTAGAACAGGGACTAGTTTTTTTTTTGCCATTTTTTTTATACTCAGTGCTTAGCACAGTGCTACATCCATAGCAGAGATTTAACAAGTGCTTGTTATTTGACTAACTTTCTACCTTCCTGCCCAAAGACATAATAAGAATATTATACATTAGATTGTTAAGTATCCATTAAGTATATTCCATATGTCTAGTATTGTGCTTGATGAAATAACTTTGAGTTTTGCATAGGAGATGTGTTTATATCTTCCTGAGTGAAGGAGGAATGGTGGACTTTTTCAAAAAGTAGGATGAAATCTTTCTGTTTGACAATTAGCAAGTATACTGATATAAATAATATAAAAAATAATAATTTACACTTATATAGTTCTTTAGAGTTTTCAAAGGGCTTTACCTATGTTTTATCATTTGGTCTTTGTAAGTTCCCTGTGAGGTAGATGATATTACTATCATCTCTTTTACATATGAAGAAAAGGAGGGGGAAAATTAAGTAATTTGCCCAGGGTCAACTCTAAGTGTTATAGGCAGGATTCAAACCCAAATCTTTCTGACTCCAAGTCCACGTCATTAGCTTCCTACTATGCCTCACTTAATCCTACTGGTCAACATCTTTTCTGAAGCAAGGTATAGAAGAACCCTTTGAATGTCTTTAAGTCTTTTTATTTTGTTTATATTAACATACTTAACTGGCAATGGAAGCTTATGAAATTAACAGCAAATGATAATATTTGCAAATGAAAGGAAACAATAAGTTCTGAGGTCAGAGTTTTCCTATCTGTATTATATCCTTTAGCAAGAAAAATGATAACAATTTAAAAAACCAACTTAGAGTCTGTTAAACTCTGAATGACCACATCCTATACTTTATCCATAAAACTGTTCCATCTTCAAAAGTCTCTATGCCTTTTCAAGATTACTCTGGGTCATTTTCATTCACCAGTGTGTTCTCCAATAGTCCCTATGAAATCTTTACTGTACAAGCAGAACTGCCTTGTCTTTGTGAATATCTCCTGGTCTAACTTTTATCTCTTTTCTTTTACAATTTTGGGCATAATGATGATCAACCTTGTGCTTTGAATAGTCCAAATTTACACCCCTGGAGAAAAAAGAAAGGCTTCTTCTCAGAGTGGTAAGACGAGGATACTCTTAGGTTAATGAATGATCGCAGTTGGTTTTGAGAACTAATAATATGTTTTATTGTATTTTTTTCCATGGGTTTTTCAAATGGTGACCTTAACCTAAAATATCAGTAAATGGAAATTACATCCTTCAGAAGTTCACCTAGACAGCATCAAGCATTTGGTGAAATGAATAAAAGGGAAAAAAAAATAATGCACAATACAAAAGTATCAGAAGCGATATGTTGATCCAGAAAGGAAATATACTTTTATCACTAAATCTTGAAGGGATTTACCTCAATTTCTACTTAACCTACTTTTATTTAAAGAAGAGAACTTCATATTGGTCATGTGATATTTACCCAAGTCACAGGTATCTTAAACTTTGTGTATTGTGTTTAAGCCCCAATAACTACAGAATTTCTTTACTGACCATTTGTTACAGACAAAACAGCAACGATTTATATCAAACGAGCAATAGAAAAGGCAAATGGAAAGATACAGTGGATGATAAAAAGGTAATGCTTTACTATAACAGATGCTTCATTTTATGATGGAAGTGGGGAAATGGAATGCTGCAGGTGCTGGGCTGACATTAGCTCTGTGGAGAATCGTTAGAGCCTCCTCAGAGATCTAGGTTTACTCTGTGTTTAATCAGCCACAGTCAGAAGAAATGGCTTTGTTTCAGCTTGATGAGAGCCAGATTACAAAAGGAAGATAGATGGTCAATAAGGTTCATCACTATAAGCATATTGTCTTAATTTGAAGAAACAGCCTGGCATCTTGTGCTAAGAAAGAAATAAAATGCAATCTGACTACCATCAAGAACCAGTTATTTTAAGTCTCAGTGTATCCTGTAATGAAAAGTGCTCATGTGTTCTTTTAATTAATATTTTATGAAAAGTATGAACCACGCAGCATTAGCCAAAACACTTAAGAGATCCACTGTTTCAGGTTCAGGGCAATGGTACTGCCCAACTTAAAAACCTTGAATCTTTCCTACTAGAGACATTTTAGGAAAAGGCTGATCTAAATATCTAAAAAATATATATATATATAGAGAGAGAGCTCTTCTTCTGGTAGATTATTTTGGCTATCCTGCAAGTGTGGTTGACGTTTCTATCTCTTTCTTCCCAAATTATTTGGTTGACTCTGTCTTTCTTCCTTTCCCCCTTATTGTAGGTAGCCTCTCACATTCAATTGCTGCCTTGCCCAGTTCTACTCGTCATTAAATTCTCTAGGTTTGAATTCATTTGGAACATAAAGTTCACATTCACTTTACTGTTTTTTGTTTTTGTTTTTGTTTTTTGCTTTTAGGCAGTTGGGGTTAAGTGACTTGCCCAGGGTCACACAGCTAGTAAGCATCAAGTGTTTGGTCTGAGACCGAATTTGAACTCGGGTCCTCCTGACTTCAGGGCCAGTGCTCTATCTACTGCACCACCTAGCTGCCCCCTCACATTCACTTTAGGACCAACTAGGTTTTCTGCTTTCTTGAAACACATCAGAAAAATGATTTTCAGCTTTTGGAGGAGCAATAAGATGCATTTGATCTCAGCATCTTTGTCAGACACCTCTTACTTGAACTAAGAGCAGATAATGACTAGTTTGGGTAGTTACAAACAAGTGGATGTTTCTATACAATTTGCTATGTGTCACATCCATGTTTTCATTCAATCCCTTGAAACCCTGCACAAAGAGCTCTGACTCCCCCCCTCCAATAACTATTTTCCAGATGCACTGAAACAACATCAAGTGACCCAGTTCCCCCCTGAGAGGTTTATAAAGGAGCATTTATAGAGAGACTTACTGAGTGAGACAGAGATTCTTGCTGGCAGCTTAGTCCTAGATAATCTCACATGAACACAGTATTGAATCTTGCTTTTCCTAAGGCATATTGAGTACGATTTTTAGAAAACGATATGCTAAACACTCCTGAAGTGGAGAAGAGATTTAAGCAGCTTAACAATTGGTAGAAATATTATCATCCTCCATCAGCGTAATAGTATCCAGTCTTTCCCCACCCACAGGCACTCATGCAGGCAGACTCGATTTAGGCTTAAGAAGGTACAAACAACTTTCTGGAAGTGTGTGGTCCTAAGAGCATTTAAACATTTCCAACTCAGGTGAAATGATTTGTCTTTTGCAAATAATCTAAACATTAGCCACCTGGTTGGAGGGCTAAACTAAAACACAATCTCACTAATAATAATATTGAATGTGACATTAAAAAAACATTCTAAACCTTGCCTACAAACCTTTATGTAGAAACAATCCTGTTGCTTCAAAGGAAAGGAAAAAAAAAGGAGGAAAAGTCAGCATTTCTAGATATAAGGCATCTTTACTACTTTACTGGTACAAACTATCACCAATTACTACCCTGGGGTCCAGGTAAAAGAGTTCTTTTGCCTAGGTAATAGAGGCAGGGTGTTTCTAGAGGGGAAACAATGTGTGGCCTTATATTCATTCATATTAAAAGAGCCACCAATTGGTTCCTACCAATGATGGCCATCAGGCATCATGTTGAAATCTGGCAAGACGGTTGCATAATTCTTCTACAGCACATCTGCTATGTATGGATGGCATTCAGCAGAATAGATTTTTTTTTCTCCAGCAAGCCACATGCCAAAGCCTTGATGTGAAAAGTACTTAATGTTCTACAGTATGTCAATCACTTGATGGTCGCCAGTGTGAAATGAACATCCTTCATGGGATGGCTTCCATTATCACTGGCACCAAAACCTAGTGAAATAATCCTCTTGAGGTGTTTTACACATGAAAGGGAAAGTGAACACATGTGAGAGGCTCTTCCTCATGGCATATCTTGGACTGCTTAGCAGGAATGCGCTCTTTAGCAGTCCATTACACATGGAACCATGTTACACTGCTAACATCACTGGCTAATGGATTGAATCTTCACCCAGTTAAGAAACACAAATCTCCCCATTTCTAGGAAGGCTCAAAAGTAACACTAGTAAGAGTATTGGTTTTTTTTAGACCAAATTTTGGAATTAGTTATATCTGTAATTTCTTTTTTTCTTTTTTTTGGCTAGGCAATGGGGTTAAGTGACTTGCCCAGGGTCACACAGCTAGTAAGTGTTATGTGTCTGAGGCTGGATTTGAACTCAGGTCCTCCTGAATCCAGGGCTGGTGCTCCATCCACTGTGCCACCTAGCTGCCCCTATATCTGTAATTTTCGAAGCTTATTTAAATGAATGAAAATGTTCTGCCCACAAAATATACTACTCATACGAGCATGAGATTTGGGAGTCCTGATGATGAGTGTAGATTTTCATCCTGACTGTGGTGAAGGGTAATATTCTAAAATCCATATGCTACATACTAAACCTTGAAAATGATCTGCTTATATTTAAAGGCATGAGATTCATTACCCTTATCTTAACATCCATAACAACCAATGTTATTATTGGTCATAAAATTAGCCACTTCCACTGATTTCAAATCCACTGACAGTTTTGGGGTAGTTTGAATTGAGTGGCTTGGGCAAGGACAAATAGGCCATTTCCTCTGCCTCTAGTATAGTTAATCTTCCATTCTAGATATTGCTACATCATCTCTTCCAAAGAAATCTTCATTCCTAATTACAAGAATACTGCCAACAAAGATGTTTTAAGCTTCAGTTTTAGAATGCTACATTCCAAAGGTAAAGTAAGAAATGTTTTCCTGGGTTACAAGAGGCTTTTTTTTTCTACATATTACTCAGTTTCACCAGCTAACACAATCTATTTCTGATCTATACTGGCAACAAGAAGATTGTGTGTGTGTGTGTGTGTGTGTGTGTGTGTGTGTGTGTGTGTGTGTGTGTGTGTGTGCAAACAAAGCTATCAGGTAGGTAATAAAGAACTGAATGTTAGGTAGGACTTAGCCAAGGTCAACCTGACACACCAGGTTCCCTACCCTTTGTTCAACATTCTGAGCACTTTATCTCTACCCTGCCCTTCCCCCACCCTCCTCCTCAAACACCAAGAAACTCAACTGTTGACACTTCTAGGCTTTGCTTAAGTCTGTTCCTTATAACCGAGTGAGTGAACAAGCGAGTTATTGCCAGGACTTTTCTGATGATCTGGGTCACCCTGGAAGTTGCACTTTAGCTCTGGCATTTCATTACTGAGCTCATTCATTTGGAGTCCCCCAAACTGTGCTTCCTTTCTGTCCATGAAACTTCTTGGACTGCATGAGTAGTTGTGATAGCTTCCAGAAAGACTTTCTGAACAATACATTTATTTCAGCAAATATTTTATTTGATGCAATCTTAACTACTAAAATGTAACTTGTATGGCAAATATTTCCGAAAGGAGACATTTGCAAACATATGGGGAAAAAACAAGGTGGCTGAAAAAATGTCAACAATATTTCAGAATCTTTTTTTTTTGTAGATGTGCCCACACTTTCCCTGCTTGAATGGAAAGAGAAGACTAGTATAATGATAGATATATATGTGCATAGCCTCTCCCCATGGATACAGCACTAGTATATAGATAGCATGCAGTTTGTGAAAAGGGGGGAGGGGAAGATGTAACTTCTTTGATTGTAACAGCCATTGTGAGGAAAGTTGGAGTACTCCCCTCCCCAAATGGCAGTGTTTTGAGAAACAGAGCTATTCCTTTTTTTAAAGCTCCTCTCTAGGAAATAGTTATGATCACTTAAAACTATTTTCCCTTTGCAATGGCTTATGTTGAAAGGCATCTGTGAACATCCTCTTGACAGTCAGAAAGATACCTCAATGGAGAGTGAGTCATGAGCCTCTAAAGGAACTCCAGGTTGGCACATTGCAGCTCCATGCTCTTTCCCCTGGGCCATAAGCTCAACAGGAACACAAGATTCATGTAAGCAAAGTTTGATAAGAATGTGAGGGTCTCCACAGTTGGAAACACTTGTGTGTTGACATGATGACTAACCTTCCAAAGATATTAAAAGGGAGATTTTAGTTTTAAGTCAATCATTTTGGCTACAGCTGCCACTTTGGTTTTTAACATCTCTATTTCTTTTTCTGGTCCTGTTAAGTGTTACCTTATTTCTTTGCTAGGAACAAGGGAAACAGGACTGGTAATTTATGGCTCCTATTAATATGGTAGGCTGGATGTGTTGACAATACGTCAATAATTATATCTGGCAGGACCCTAACAGCAGGGTAAGGGTCTCTATAGAATGACTGATTTTAACACAAGACAGATATGCCTGACCTGAGTTTTATGACAGATGTCAAATATATCGAAGTGTGGTGTGAAGAAGATCGTCTTATTGGCAAAGTAATGAAAGACCACTGGAAAGATTAATGTTAACTCTGATTCCTGTTGTTTCTTGTTTCTTTCTGCAGGTGTTAGAGTAAATATAAGGGTCTCTGCTCTGGGCTGATGGTGATTTGGAAGTGAAGACACAGGTAAATACTCTCAGTTACTATAAAAGCCACATTTCCCTGAGGGTTTGAAAAATAACACCAAAAAGCAGGGGCTGGTGAGGAGGAAGCAAAGAAGACCAGGATACTTTTTTACCTATAACTCAAGATCTTTCCATGAGTAGCACAGATCTGATAATAGCCCAGTGGGATATTTTTTTTCAAAGTGATTACTTAATTCCTTAAAAACAACCAGAGGGTTATAATAAAAGATTTATTGTTGCACAAATATATTTTTCTCTTTCTAAACTAAAGCCTTTCTTCCTTTCACTTAATCAATGAAAAAATTCACAGGAATTCATTCATTCTGTGATCTATGATAGACATAAACTGTTTAAAATAACCAGAACCAAAGACTATGTACACTTCCAGAGAACAAAAGAAAGAACAGTCCAGGACAATGGCACCTCCAAATGGAAATTTATATGGCTAAGGAAGAGCAATGACCCCTTTCTATGACAGCTTCTATGAAAAGTTAGGATAAGAAAGTGGGAGAGAATAATTTTCCCAGAATTATTTTCAGGGAGAGTTAGCAATGGTAGGGAACAGGTTTTGATTTTTCCATTTTCTTTTAAAATTTCTTTTCCTTTGATTATTTTTGCAGAAAGTTTGAGATCCTTTTAAAAATGCTTCAAAAGTGAAAAAAGATGCCTAGTTTGCCTTTATCTTCTCTTATTTGTTTATTTGTATCAAATTCCCTTTGGGAGTAGGGGTATGAAGGTAAGGACTCACCTTTGTCATTCAGAGCCTGTTTACTTCTATTAGGCCAGCAAATCTTCTTTCTTTTCTAGCTCTACAGTACTTTTGTACTCACAGAGATCTGCCTTCAGAAAAGGGAAATGGGACGTGAAATGTTTTCCTAGGTTCAGTGCTCTTAAACAGCAGCTTAGGTGGTTGAATGCTGCTTCTGTGAGAGAGTAAGTGCAGGTGTCCCTATAAGGAAAAAAGAGGGGACCTGTTTTTTATACAAAAGGGTGTGTTTGAAATATGAACCAAAAAAGGAATTGCTTTTTGTAACAGGCCCTGGCTTTTACTAAGATCTTGAGGATTAGTTATTCTTTTAGGGAGCAGACTGGTCATTGTGTACAAGGTATCTTTCAAAGCATTTCTGTATAACAGAGGTTAAAAAAAAAGATATGAAATTCTACTTTGGAAAATTAGTGATCTTTTGTTGGAGGCAAGAGTAAATATTTTTACTAATAGGAAACATTTTATAGACATATAGTTTTTGCATTCTCCTTGAATACCCCCCCTGCTTTATTTGCCTCTGATTTTTTTGTTCAATAATATGCATGTTCTTTACAAAAAGGAAAATTTATACTGCTTGAAATAAAAGGAGAAAAAACATCTTAGAGGTTAAACTTTTTGAAAGTGAAATTCAGGATATCATATGAAGACATACTATATATGTTTTCCATGTTTAAGGAAAAGAAAACCTTCCTATGCTATCCTTCACTGAAGAATTGACAGATTATAATCATAAGAACACATGCATATATATCTATACATTTAGATATATGCATATATGTTTTATATGTGTATGTATATACTATCCATATATACACTATTTATCTGTGTATATATGTGTCTATGTATATGTATGAGTGTGTATTTGTGTGTATATATCTATACACACAGTGTATCGGGGTAAATTCCTGATATTTAAGCCACCGAAGCTTAAAATTGCACTATATATTTTGTGTATGTGTGTATTTATATTATAACAATATATGCATATATGTGTGAAGTATATATATGTGTGTATACACACATTCACACACACCCAAAGTTGACCTTTGGAAAGAATACATTTCCTTTTCCTTTTTTTTTTCTTTTTAGGTGATTGGGGTTAAGTGACTTGCCCAGGGTCACACAGCTAGTAAGTGTCAAGTGTTTGGTCTGAGGCTGGATTTAACACAGGTTCTCCTGACTTCAGGGCCAGTTCTCTATCCACTGCACCACCTAGCTGCCCCATACCTTTACTTTTCTATACTATATTGTCTCTGCTAAAGTCTTCCTCTGAAGCCTATGTGCCTTCATCCTGATTTGGAGGTGACTCTGAGCTTTTGGAGTCAGTGTCCATACATTCAATAGAAGGTTCAGCTAAGATGGACAGCTCTGAACATAGGCCTAACAATAATATGAATAGTGGGCACTTACACAGTACTTTAAGCTCTAAAAAGCACTTTAAATACAATGTTTATTTTAGCCTCCCCCTGACGCTGTGGGGTAGGATCATAGGATTAATGATTTAAAGAAGGTAATCAGGTCCAACTCCTTCATTTTACAGGCAAAAAACCCCTGAGGTTTAAAAAAGTTAAACAACTAGTTTAAGGTCATACAGCTAGTAAGTGGCACAAGTGGGATTTGAATCCAAGTCTTCCTGACTTCAAAGTCCAGCACTCTATCTACTATACTATGCTGCTTCTCAACACCATAAGGCTACTTAGGTTGAGGGGGAGGAGAAGTAAAGGGAGAGGGAGTGTGTCAGGTTGACAAAAAAACTCAGCTAGGTCATGTAGGTAACAGGAGCCTGTTGTAGGAAGATTGCTACCCGGATGCTACCTATTTTAGTGTTTAACTAGTTGTTTCTATACTACTGAAGGGCTGTAAGTGATGTCTGCATCCTCTAAATGCCATCCTCTGGGAATAAAGCTCTGTCACTTCACCCTATTATATATAGCTCTGACAGTAATGAATGGCATGGACAGATTGTTTCTTAAGTATCTTTCCAAAGTAATTTTTGAGCTTGGTTATTAATTAAAACAGTTACTTCTCTGCTTAGTTTTAAGTCATAGAGATGAATGCACAATTTAAAAAATATATTGAACATACCCATTACAAAGTGCTGGCTTTTTCAGAACTATTTAGAACCAGTGAGTTGTTCTTAATAGATCTATCAGTGAGTAGTGAAGAGGTTCAATGGTTTCTTGGAGTTATCATCCTTCTAGCCACTAGGGTACTGATTAATATTCTAGGGGAGGTTATTAATTAAATTTACTTAAGGCCTTAAAGAGTTCATCCAATTCCAACCAACATGATTTTTCCCTATTGGTTATGATTATGATAGCTTGAAAAGTCTTTTAGTCTAAAAGGAGGAAACAAGTGAAACAAAGTTTGATTTTTGGCAAGACCTTTGAGTTGATCTTATGTGATGGGATCATCTGCTAAGAAGAAAAAATAATGTTTAGGTGAACAGATGTTTGGATGATGATTATTGTTGGTCATTATTAAGTAAGCTTCCACAGAGATCAGTTTTGGATCCATTGATTAATATTTCCATGAGTGATGATAATGATTATGATGACAATGATGATGGAATAGAAAACCTGTTCGTCAGTTTTATAAATGATGTCATACTGGTCAATGGGAAAGATAAGGAGAATAAGAAAAGAGAATACAAAATATCTTAGAGGATACATAGATGGTAAGTAGAGATAGATACATAGATAGATAGATATATAGATAGATAGATAGACAGACAGATATAAAGAAAAATAGATAATTTATTAAATTCTAACCATGTTCCAGACATTGTACTAGGGTGTGATTAAAGATCTAAACATTTTCTTTGATACCTTGATAGAGTTGTGATTTCATACTATTAGTATCTCTCCTCTGACTTAAATAATAACACCTCAATGCCTTCTCATCCCACGTGAATCCTCTCTGTAGACTCACATATCCCATAGAGGATTATCTAACATATTGAAAGTCTTAACTAAGTTCTAAATGATATTCATTATTATTAACTTATTCTATTAGTGAAAACAGTGGGCATTAGAAGTGGAGTCAGGAAGATCTGAGTTCAAATCCCACCTCAGATATTTACTTTTTGACCTTGGTCAAGTCACTTAATTTCTCTATGTCACTTCATTTTTAAAATGAATGAGTTGGACTCAGTGTCTGCTAAGGTCCCTTCAGACTCTAAATCTATGATCCTATGATGAGGAAAAGAGAGACTACCAGTATTCATTAGACCTCCATGAACCTCAATTTTCTCATCTTGGTGGGGAGGGAATAGATGCACCTGATGATAAAGTCCTTGATAGGTCTAAAATGTTTTACTTCTGTAGCTTAACATGTTTAAAAGAAGAATTCATTGATTTATAAATTATATATATATATATATATATATATATACACACAACATATATATATATACACATACATACATATATATATATATTACATTTAATTGCCCATGATGTGCAAGAAAGTAAATTGCATTTAATGCTAAAATTATGGAATATCATTTAATTTTTCTTTTATTATTCATAAGGTTCTTTAGCATTTTACAGTGTCTTGGGGTCCTCATTATGAGCATCAATTATTACTTTATCCCCTTTTGTAGATGTGCAGAAAGTTATTTAATAGAATGAAAATAAAATCAACCAACATGTATTCATCAATATTCTATTATGTACTTAGCACCAAAATGATATGGGCTAAAAAAAGAAACACAAACCATGATAATCTCCCCCAGGGTTTGTATGAGCTAATTACTGTGAATTTACTGTAACTTGAAGTTCTAAAAGTAAAGGAATATAATTTAGGAAATACTTAATACATATATGGTAGCTAGTTTAATATATCATTAAAATTTTTGGAAGAACTAGCAAATATGAATAATACCCTGTTTGACTAAATCATAAAAGAAAAGCTGGTTTGAATTAGGGAGGTGTGAAAAATTCTTGGGTTGGTAAAACATGTAGCACTTCCATCATTTAAAAGTAGGTAAAATATATTTCAAAAATAATGAAAAATTCATATTTTAATTGAACTGGCTGTTGCATGAGCCTATATTTTTATGAAGCTTAATGAAACAAATGAAACCTTGCCCATTATGAAATCTTTGTTAATTGTCATCTTACCCATAAAGTTCACATCATTTTTTTTTGAAGTTTTGCAGTTTTGCCAACTCAAAATGCATGGCACCTGACTTCAATTTGGACTGTGTTTATTTTTTCTGGTAAAGTCAGACT